ATGTATGAAACTCTCTCTCTCTCTCTCTCTCTCTCTCTCTCTCTCTCTCTCTCTCTCTCTCTCTCTCTCTCTCTCTCTCTCTTCGTACGTGCTTGCGTGCGTGAATGTACGCAACTCCCTCTCTCTCTCTCTCTCTCTCTCTCTCTCTCTCTCTCTCTCTCTCTCTGTCTCTCTCTCTCTCTCTCTCTCTCTCATGCCTGGGTGTAGATGTGCGTCTGTATGTGTGTGACCTTTGGATGTACACAGGTGTGCTCACGAGCAGGTGTGCGTCTGCATGTGTGCATGATTTGGATATACGGAGGCCAGCGTGTACGCGCGTGCAGACTGTGAGTTTACCGAAATGCTTGTGAAGCGAGCCTCAGCCCCGGCCGATCCAACGAGTACGCGGCGGAGGAAGGGTCGCAGACTAGAGAAAAGAAAGGTGCATAAGAGAGGGGAAATAAATTAAAGAATTACCATTAAAAGCACACACTAACACCGCACGACTAATGCCATGGCATACGGGAGTTGCCGATCACGAAGGACGAGCAAGAAAAAAACGCCGACTCCGCAACGAGGTCTTACAAACTTCTCAAATATTCTCGCAGAACAAGAGCAACATCCATCTCCCCTCCCCCCCCCCTCCCCTCTCGTCCTTTCGGGGCGAAGTAGAAATCAACTGCAGCAGCTGGATGTCAGCGATGGATATCCGGGATGTATTTCGCCCGAAGAAAGCGAATCGCGGAAAAAGCCCACCAAACGCTTCCCCCAAACGCTTGTTCTCCCTGAGTCGGACAAAAGGAATTCAGAGTTTCCCGAGTTCCTTCGGTATTAATTTACTATTATAAATGAACAATCCCTTCGCATTACACCGCCACTTCGCACGTAGTGCGAAATCAATCGTTACGCAACTTGTCAAGGGCTGTAAGCGGTTTCCATCCTCAGTGTCAGTCATCGCTCTTTCTCCTGTGCGTACGGTTCCTGCCGTCCATTTCCTCTTCCATCCCTCCTTCTTTCCCTCCGTTTCAACCCTCCTCTCCCTGTTTGAGAACGAAACGACCTGCCTAGGGAAGTTATTCCGTTGACATCAACAGGTAAACAAGTGGTGAATATGTACGGCTCGACCGTTTCCTGCCCTGTCGCCAACAGTCTTTCTCCTCCTCTATCTCAATTCTCCTATCCTCGTCCTTCCCTTCTTTCCACTGCCAAGAGCTTCCTTACTAGGCCTGTCTAAACCATTTCTCTGGTAGGAGATCAGACACTAGCATTGTCGTGCAGTCAATAAGCGTGTTTCCCCACCTCCTTCCCTTCTCCTCTCATCGCTCTCCCAGCCCCGTCCTTACAAACTCCTCACCGACTGCTCGGCACCATATATCTGCGGTCTCTCCTCTTTCTTTGCGATCTCGATGTCTTCTCCACCTTCTCCTCTCATGTACCCCCTTTCCGCGCGCACTACTTCCGCCACCTCGACCCTSTSTCCGAASCCTCGAAAAACTTCTCAGCCCCTCTCTCACTTCCACCTCATCAAGGTTGAACCTTGTCATTAGCGYCGCGCTCGCAAGCAGCTGAAACTAACAAGTCCCCACTTCTCGTCAGAGCAAAACGTCAGGAACTCAGTCACATTTCCGCTTCCTTTGCTCATAGAGCGAACTCTGWTGCTCTCGGCTTTCGAAGGGCCACCTCAACAGTGTCAGAAACAGATCAAACACTTCGCAGGAACGCGTCATAAAAACCAAGGAGTCCAGTAGCTCAATTTTCCGCAAACAGAAACTGAAATCACTTCGCAACTGCGTGATAAGGTCATCCACGGTCGAGTTATGCCCCATTGCCCCATGCCAACACCGACGATCTTGCCGTTGCCTTTGCCTCGACAGTTTAAAGCTCTGTGGCGGAGAGGATAGAGAGCATCAGCAATCTTTGCGGAATCGCTGCGGATAATGATAGTGTATCACTGCTCCATCCACTCGGGGATCCTTCACCTAATCAATCGCAACGACTGCCCACACACGAGCGCGGGCGCACACAGTCACATGCAAACATCACATGCAAACACTCGCTCATGCAGAGTGTGAAAAAAGACACAGGATGAAGGAGAGCGGGGGAGCGAGCCAGACAGAGAGAGAGACAGACAGACAGACAAACACACCTACAGAGAGAGAGAGAGAGAGAGAGAGAGAGAGAGAGAGAAAGAGGGGATAATCGGTAGAAGGAGCCCACGCCAAAACATTTTCGGTTTTGGCCGCCCAAAGTTTAGCCGTTTGGTACTACCGGCCCAATGACTTGCATCTGGGGTACTACAGGCCCACGCGTCGCTCCAAGTGCCCTACCGGATCATGAATCTGGCGCATAAACAGCGCCAGATTCATTTTCATGTAAAAGAGGCCTGGCGTGGTAACGCTGAAGTGTAGAATGGCACGCTGAAGTGTAGAATGAGCCCCACGTAAGCGATTTTGAAAAAGAAGGGCCCTACCGGTTCAAGAATCTGAGGCGGAAACAGCGCCAAATTCTTGAACCGGTGGAAACAGGCCCAAGGAGATGTGGCCACGGCGCGAAGCCGCCTTTCACCAAGGGGAACGTTGTTTGGGCCGGTAGTACCAAACGGCCGAACTTTGGCGTGGGCTCTTTCTACCAATTAGCCCGAGAGAGAGAGAGAGAGAGAGAGAGGGAGAGAGAGAGAGAGAGAGAGAGAGAGAGAGGAAACGCACTTGCCCGCAAAACCGAAAAGGTTTTGGCGTGGGCTCTTTCTACCAATTATCCAGAGAGAGAGAGAGAGAGAGAGAGAGAGAGAGAGAGAGAGAGAGAGAGAGAGAGAGAGAGAGGAAACACACTTGCCCAGTTCTTTGCTTGAAATTTGAAAAAAAACCTGCACAACTACGGATTCATCAGATATCCGCACTGCATCATCCTATGCATGATTGTAGCTGCAAAGCAGTAAGTAATCTAGGGTAACGA